ATCAGCTTCATTTTATATGACTACTTAGTCTACCACCTATAAGTACCATACACTATAGTTGACATTTGTGTTTTTAATATTTCACTAGTATAAATGACCCTTAAGTAAACATTTTCATATTGTCAATTTTAAAGGCAGGTTGAGGTGCACCAAATGTGAAAACAAAGACTTTTTGAGGCAAAGTGCAGATGGCTACCCTGAAAACACATATACTAATGTCCAGAATACATTCTTCAAAATGGTACCTGAGGAGTCTGGTTTTTATAAATAAAAAGAGAACACATTGGTTGAGATAGTTACATTAAGTGGCAGGAATAGCACAGATTGTTGATTGGACATGGCTCACTTGTTATGCGTTTCAGGGAAAGAACTGCATAGCAGGAAAGGCTTTTACTGGGGTATTTATTATCTTTATAACATTGGGGAGTTGGCAGAAATCTGCTTTGCCAGGTCAGAGTGACCTAGGTGACTGCAGTCTCATGCCTGATGCTTGATGTATTCCCTGGGTCACAAAATTCTTTTGGTATTCTATAGTTTGCTTTGTTTACTTAGAATGGCTTTATATGAGTGGAGTTCCTAGTCATATTCTTGGAATATGCATCTATTCCTGACACATAGTGAATTATCATTGAGATCTGCTGAGTTTTTTGACATGCTGCAACCTCTTAATATTTGAGACTTGACAATTCCTTTCCCTTCCTGCCTTATTTATTTAGTATAATAGGGATTTTGCTTATACATACTTACATAATTTAAAAATACTGTATCATTACTGCATGTGCTTCCAACACAAATAGTACATTATGAGAGTTTGATTTAAAAGCAACATGTAAAGAAATGATATAAAGGTAAACCATAATCTAGACAGATGTGTTTGAGAAAACAGTTTTGTGAATAATTTGCAAACATATTTGGAAAATCTATAAAATGAAAATGATCTTGGAGTAGTAAAAGAGGTTTTTAATGCTCTATGCTTTATGAAAAAAAGATTTTTATGTTTAGCATAAAAATGTTTTATGCTGAAAATCAAGCTAGCTACTTTTGCTCCTTTAACCCACTCTCATCATCATTTCCATCTAACCCTGATTCATTTTTTGTAATTTATTTTATCCTTTTTTTTGATTTGCACCTTTTGCTCTCTGTAACTTTGAGAAGGTTATGTAGACTTCTCTGGACTTGAATTTCCTTTTGTATAAACTGGTAATAATAACATCAAAGTGTGTTGGGTAAGATGGTAAACAAAACACTATTTCTGCTCTGTAGGGGCTAAAATTGTAGTGGTAGGAGAATAACAATAAAGTAAAGAAGAAAAGATGCAGTCTGAAAGTTTTTTTTTTTCAAAACAATGTTATAATAATAAGTAAAAGGAATTAGGGCAAAGAAGGCTTCTCTGATAAGGTCATTTGAGCAGAGAACTGATAGAGGTAAGGGAGGGAGTCAGAAGGACATCTGGGAGAAAACCATTTCAAGCAGTGGAAATAATAAATTCAAAGATCCTAAGGGAGAGGAATGTCAGTCTTGTTAGAATACTAGTAAAGATAAGAGTAAGACCAAAAAAGGACAGAAGAGTGTGGGCATCGATTTGAGGTACAAATCATGTATGAACTCAAGGTTATTTTGAGGTCTTTAGATTTTATTCAAAGTGAGATAAAAAGCTATTAGAGTAAGAATAACATTATCTGACTTGAGTTAAAGGTACATGAAAAGGCCATAGATGTTTTTAAGACATAAGGTTAGCAATTAATTTCATAAGCAAGAAACAACTAAATTCATAAAGAAAAATGTTACTTAATTTGGCTGTGTTAAAATTAGGTCTTCTGCTTGATAAAATCATTAAAAAGAAAAGCCATAAAGCAGTAGAATCTGCATGTAACACTTCAGTCAATTTGTGTTCAGAAAAAGTGAAAGACATTCTACAAATTAATGAGAAAATAAGATTTGTTAAAGTTGGCAAAAGAAAACAAACAAGCATGTACAAATGATTGAACACAAAAGTAAGAATGAGCATATCAAAAGATGCTCAGACTCAAGTGGGGAATATTAATGCAGCTCCCCACTTACCTGTTTGATAAAATGAATAGTACAAAGGTACTGTGTTCATTGAATATAAGAAAAATGGAAATTCTTACATTGCCAATTTTTTAAAAACTATCATTATGCCTAACAAATTTGAAACTACATATACCTGACCTCAAAAATTCTGTGTCCAGGTGTACACCCTTCACAAAAAATAATGTGCACTAGGAGAACTATAAAAAGTATTTCTTTGTAAGAATATTTGTAATAGCAAACATTGGGAACAAATTGAATGTCATCAATAAGAGAAAGCAATAAAATATATTGCAATCTTATGAAAAAATGTTTAAATTTTTATGGAATTAAAAAGTATTTTAAATAAGAAGCCATTGCTCACAATTCGGAGGAAGAATAGTAAAAATGGAATGAAGATACATCCAGTTACTATCCATTAAAATATACTTTTGAGTAATATACTTTTCACTGAGATAGTATCTGTATGTTTATGTGTATAAAAATTTAACCTTGAGGATATCTTAATATATGGTTTTTGCTTTTAAAATTGTCAAGCATTTAATTTTGTAAATTTTATTTTCCCTAGTAATAGAAATAATGCCACCCCCCCAATTTTATTATTGGAATTGGGGAAAGTACCTAGAGTCATTAAATGAATAGGTCTTATTTTTAATGCCATTTATGTTTTAAATATTTACCAAGATGTTTGTTATGGCTAAAATGTTCTAGAATTCTAGATGAATTATCAGTAGATCAAATATCTATAATGTGTGTATTCAAATTTATATAAGAATATAAAAGAGAAAAAGAAGATTAAAGGCGAATCGTAATAGGATCCACATTGGTCCCATCTTTCTGCACCAAACATCTGCGTTAAGCAGTAGACATTCTCTACATATGAACATGTTTAGTGATACAGATCTTTAGTTCTTTTTTTCTGTCATTATTTACAATGTGCTATGATTAGGAAAATTTATACAGGTAGATCGTCCAAAACACTATAAAATAATGAGTCCTTAAGGTCTGCAGACTTGTACTGGTACTACAAAACAGTCATTCTCTCAACCATATCCTTTGCAACATGATTGAAATTCAGTAATATCTAAATTTCAGTGGTTTAAAAACTGTATCATGGTCTCTTAAGGTTTAGTGGTAGCATTTGAAGGGTGTGGGGTGGGGGACAGGGCAGAACTTCATAGTGCTGGTCAGGTGTTTTTCTCTGGTATACCTAAGCTTCCAAACAGGTTTTGCTTGTTTTTTTGTTTTTGTTTTTCCCCCCAGAAAGGGTTCCAATACTATAAATAGAATAGTTTGAAAACCTTCTGTATAGAGAGCTGTTTGTAAGCAAAAGTGCGTAACTTGTGGAGTCAGGTATTTATTATGCAGAAGTTGGTTAATATGGTCTTGAAAACAGAGTCAAATGCAAATAATTTATTAATAATCAAATTCAATAATGTGGTTATAAAAACTGACTCAGTGTAGAAACATTTACCTGTAGAACTTTCTCTGACCTCTACTTAATTGTATAGATATAACCCAGTGATATCCTTCCAGGTTTTGCTATTATAGAAGAGGCATCCTGCTTCTACTGCTGCTGTGTCTTAGAGACTTATTGATACTATTTGTACACATATAGCTAGAAATAAGAAAAAAAATCAAAGAAAATGGAGGAATTTCTGGGCTAGAATTACTTTATTTTTTCCTTTGTTTTTTTAACCATTTAGTTCTTTGAGCAGAATACATAATAAATACATTTCCAGAATTGGTGGGTTCTAAATCTTAACAGTAGACAATGTCAAAAATATTGTAATAACATGAAGAAGAATGTTCTTAGTTGAAATGCTCCCATGATTTTCTTAATACCTGACATCTTTCAACATGGCATGAATAAACCCATGATTTGAAAGTAGACAAAAAGTAAAGAAGATATTTTGTGTTCTCAGTTTCAGTTTTAAAATGGCAATTAACTGACTAGCTGTAGGACCTGCTAAATTTGTTAAATTGTTTTATTATAATGTGCTTTTTGTAAGTTTTTTTTTACTGAATCCTCAAATTTTCTAAGTGAAATGATAACTGACTTAAGTATTTATCTAACTAAACAAAATCTTTGAAACAACACATTTAAAATTCAAGCATAAAAAAGCAATTAAACACAGAGACACGCACTGTGAAAAGGAAAGAAGCCAACTTTAATACATTCTCATTTTCTAGGAATTCAATGAATTTTGTCACTGTCTTCAAGTGGTATGGTTTAGATGTGAGGTATCCCCCAAAAGCTCAAGTGAGAGACAATGCAAAGAGGAGAAATGATTGGGTTGTAACAGTCTTAATCCAATCAGTGAATTAATTCCTTGGTAGGGATTAACTGAATAGTAGGGTGTGGATGGAGGAGGTAGGAATTGGGGCATTCTTTGGGATATGTATTTGTATCTGGCAAGTGGAGAATTCTCTGTCTGCCTTCTGGTCACCAAAGTGTGAGCTGCTTTCCTCTACCACCCTATCCTGCCATGTTGGGCCCTAAGGAATGGAGCCTGCCTTCTGTGGACTAAGACCTCTGAAACCATGAACCCTCAAATAAATTTTTCCTACTCTATAGTTGTTCTGGTTAGAACCTTTAGTCAGAGCTGTGAAAAAAGCTGACTAAAACAGAAAGTAACACAATTTTATGTATAACAACATGAAATGTTAGAACTGGTTTTGAAGTTTCTTAAAGTGTTATGAAAGTTCTGAATTTAAAGAGTATTTAGAATTAAACTCTCAAAATCTAGCAGATTAAAGAACTCTAGTTATAAGTATTAAAACTTAAGACATAAATAAATAATGGTCATTTTATGTAATGTAAATATGAGTTGCATTTACCTGTGTTTGCATTTGTAATTTAACCATTCTGGAACACTGTATTCACTTCCAGAAAAATTTATAGATTTTATTGGCATCTATTTCTACTGTCTCCTTGACAACTACTACAGATGCTGCTATCACCATGGGAATGGTTCTTCTAAATGAAGCAGCAACTTCCAAAGGAGATGTTGGAAAAAGACGGAGTAAGTCTCTATTGGTACTTTTTTAATTTTGTTTTTAGCTGGAAGATTTTTTTAAAGCAAATCGGAAGTATAGAAAAATTTCTTTATAAACAAACTTCTAAAGAAGTAGTATAATTTGAAGCTTAAGATTTTTTTTGTTTCTTGGATGTTTGTATGAATATACTTGAAAATGTTATTTCTTCCAAAATGGGATTTGGGTGATACTCTTTGGAATTATATATAAAAGAGAGATGCCATCACCCTTGTCAGGGATGCCTTGATCCATTTCTGCTGAACCATTGTCTTTGTAATAACATCCAGACTACAGAGATAGAAAAAGAATTTCTGAGTAGCATCTTCAGAGATTTTATTGGCACATAATATGTTCCTTATGCCGGGATAATCAAGGAGCATTAGAAACCTGACTTGGATTGAGGGGTGCTTCTGCATAGGTTTTATACTTAAATATCATTCTTTCCTTCCAATTTCCTTCAGATCTTCTTTTATCAACCTTTTTAAAAGGAGGTCATCTTCTGTTACTATCTTTTCCTAGGGCTTTGCTTTTCCATTGATATACCAACATATACAGCTCTATCAAGTTCCAGCTTTATGATTTTAAATAAATTAACTGTTTTATCCTTTGATGAAATGATTCTTCTCAGAGGGTTGTAGAAAAACAAATAGTTTTATAGGGTAACAAATTTTGGTAGGTAAAAAATAATGCATAGGAAATATATTTTTCCTGGAAAAACATAGATTAGCAAAGAAAAGAGGCCTTAGAGTCAATGTTTTCTCCCATAAGCCTTTTTATAATTAAGTCCATACATGATTTTATGATTATACCTCCACAAAACTATAATTAAATTTTTGCCAATACATTTTGTATTTGTGAACACTTTTTAAGACCCAGAGTTTCTGTTTAAAAGCATAGGTATCTGAAAAATATTAATAATTTTTTAAGATATTTAAAATAAAAATCTAGGTACTTTCTTTGAGATTTTTAACACATATAAATGTATATATATAAAGGAATCAGTGATTTTTTTAATACTTGAAAGTGTTAAGTATTGAAATGTTTGGATGTGTAATGTACAGTCAAAATTCACCTCTGTTTTCCCTTGATACATTCTACACACTGTTGTAAAGAAACTACAGGAGAAATGAGGGAATTACTTTGCTTCTTTAAACATTGTTGAGGATCGTAAAATGATGTATCTTTTGAATAAACAAGGTCGTGTTCTTGGGATTGATCAATCACGCTTATGAGGACATACTCTTAATGTGATGATATATTTATCTTATGTCCTGTCATATCAAGGTAAGTAATAGTAATAAGAAATATATAAAGTTTTTAATATCACAATATGCATGATACAGTAGAGTTTATAAAACCACTACTTCCAAATTCCCTCTTGATAGATGTTTCTATCATGACTCCTCCCAATTACCTCCAAGTTTTGTATTCTTGTGTGCACATGGATACATGTGTGTAAGTGAGAGTGCATTGTGCACGTGAATGAATTGGAAAGTATATTTTTTAATTACTGCTTTTGGATTCAGATGTGATTTCTTACTTTGATATTGCATAACTGCTATGATTATTAATATTGTCCAGTTCAAAATGCTTCCATGTCATCATGGCATTTTCTTCTTACAGGTGTGTTGTTATCTCATGATCTGTCATGGTTCATTTATTATTCTGCACTATGCTCAGTTCTTCTGATTTCCCCATGCACAAACACTTGAGTCGCATTATTTTGTTCCACTGCCTAATATTAAGTAAATAAACTGTTTTACTTGATCACATATTTTGAGCCTCATCACTCATTTGAGCACAACCTACGAGACTAGCTAACAACAGGGCATAACAAAGAATGCTTTATTCCTCTTCTGAAAAAATTAAAAAGGGGACATAAAGGAAAAGAAGTGTTTGGTAAAATATCTTAATTTGGAAAAGTATAAAGTAAAGCATTGTGTAATTAATTCTAAGATTAGTAAGATTGATGTAAGTGGTTTTTCATATGTTATGTCTTAGGGTCTGGTGTCTGTCTGTCTTGGCTATTGTATGATTTTTTGAAAGCACGTTTTTCATTTGTGGTATTTGGGAACCTTTTTTTTTACTTTATTTTCTGCTAATATTCATTTCAAGTTCAATTGCATCACGTGTTGTCTAAAATGAGAGGTCACTGAGGCTACAATTGGATACAATTAAATGCTTATGTTTTATAATTTGTACTCCAAACTTAGATATTCATGCAGAGTTGAATGAAAACTGGCAGAGTAGACCATATTTCGGCAATGCTGTACCTTATCTACTCACTGATTTTCAAGATTGAGATTAAACCTGGATTCATTTATATGCCAGGAAAAAAATTTAAAATCATATTTCATTGTTATAGAAGCATATATGTCCATTTAATTTTCCTTTCTTCTTCTTCCTTGGTGTTTTTAATCTCTTTTCTCCTGTCTTCCTTTCTTTGACAGTTATTTCAGATATTTTATAAAACCAGATTTTAGAATTCCCTGTGTTTTTTTCTTAAATATGTCCAGATACTTCTTATTGAGTATTAAAAAAACACATTAATTTCTGATTTTATAGAAATTCTATAATTCTAATTTTAAGAAAAAACAATTTCTCATTGTGTAAAACAGATTTAGATAGAATTTAATTTACTTGTTTTGTTTCATTCTAAACATACCTACATTTAATTGGCTTAGACTTTTAAGCATTTAAATTTGATAAGCATGTTTAGATATATTTTACTAGTAACAATGAATCTTCTTTAATTAAATATCAAAAATGTACATGCAAAAGAAACATAATAGATTTTATCAATCATTTACTTTTGAGTAAAATCTTCCCAACCATAATAGAAAGGAAATGAAAAAAATAAGAAAGTATTGTCAGCTTTTCTGGTACAGAGTAATATAGAAAAAAACGGACCACAGCACGTAGTACCATAACATATGCCTTTTGTTTCTCTGTAAAACATACTGAAATACCCAGACATTATTACCTGCTTTGGGAAGGAGGGTGGTTCTCCCTTTCGCTCTGAGACCTTATTTTCTTACTCTCCCAACTTTTATTTCTAGCTTTATATAGGCTAAAATGAACTATTTTTTAGTAACATGCTTTTATACTGAGGCAAAAATCTAACCAGTAACTTAAAATTATATTTCTTTGTGAATACTGCATGGCATCTGAGAAGAATAAAATTTAGCATTTCTAATAATGCAAATGTTCCTGCTGTTACAACCAATACTTCAAAATGCAGGGGCTGATAATCTTGTTTGTGGTTTGTTATATTTTGTTTTGTTTTGATCCCTTTGGGGCATTTTAGTACTTGTAGGAACTCTGTTAAAAGAAGAAAACCACCAGAAGACTTAGATAAGTCCATTTTGTTGTTTTCATACCCCAAATAGTAGATTTTCATTGAGAAGAATGTGGAAAATAATGAATACATTGTATTGTGGATTATCTGGTTTGTTGTACCTGTGTGTGCCATGAACTATTAAATGTAAGTATTCTGTAAATTGGATGCATTTTAAAAATATGAACATTTGGGTTGTCATTGCATGTGTTTAGACTCTAATGGCATTTTCTCTCTTTTTCTAGTAATTTGCCTAGTGGGATTAGGCCTGGTGGTCTTCTTCTTCAGTTTTCTACTTTCAATATTTCGTTCCAAGTACCACGGCTATCCTTATAGGTAATATCTTTATATTATCATGAATGGTTTTATATTTAACTCAGAATAAACAGAATTTCAGTAGTTGGTATATAATTAAGGATTAGTATAAGGTAGCTAATTAATTTGCTATGTGGTCTTAAATTCAATTAAGCAAATTTTTGAGCACCTACCATGTGTTCAGCATAGTAGACTATACAAAGGAGATATAAGGCATATTCCTGTTCCTAAGTAAGGTACAGTTTCACTTTAGGGATATATCACTGTGTATTTATATGCACATATAGTGAAATGAGTTTAAGCTCTATGGATTTCATCAAAATTTCTTCTTTCTTTGGTTTGCGTATTTATCATGATTTTGACTTCATTTGCAAGATTATGTTTTCATGTAATCTCCCAGTGTCAAATAAACATTCATCATCTTTTGAATTCAGCAAATTTATAACTTTTCCAAATAAGAAAAGCCAACTTGAAAGAGAAAAAATAAATGATAAACTAATCTCTGGTCACTAGAATTCGTCATAATGAATATCTTGTAAGATTTTCACCAGCATGTTGTCCAAATTGGAAGATGATGAAAATTCAATCTGAGATCATATTACTGTTACCAAACCTCACTGACTAAAGCACACTGCAGTAAATGTGTCAGATTACACCTATTGAGTTTATGAATTAGGCATGTTTGTCTTTTGGGCATATTCCTGCCTTAGCTTTTTTTTTTTTTTTTTTTTTAAGAAATAACTTTTACTGTCTCTAGAGAATTCTTCTTATAGATTAACCTATGTTTCTCTCTTATAAAGAAATAAAAGCCATATACTTCCTTCCTCAGAGACTTTAAAGACCCTATCTGCTGAGGTGATAGAACCAGTGAAATGTGGTTAGAAAAAAAAAAGCTCATTATACTTTAATATACCTTCCTCACATGAACAGTGGACATTTTTTTTAATTTTATTAGTGCATTATAATTATGCATAATATTGGAATTTAACATAATTAGCCAAAGCATGGAATTTAATTTGCTCCAATTCAGTCTCAAGGATTTCACATTTCCTGTCCCTTCTCCCTCCCTCTGATGCCTTTCTTCGACGAGTCCTTCTTCTATTTATTTATAGTTTATTTTTTAATTTAGTGTTTTATAGACATAAAGTGAAATTAACTGTGGTATATTTATAAATACATACAGTGTGATTTTGTCACATTCATTCTACATTTCCTCCCCCTTTCATGTCCCTTCCTCCTTTCTCCTCATCAGTCTCTCTTCTACTTCATTGACTTTCCATGTATCTTTATATCTGACCGCCACCTCCCCACTTTTTCATCTCCTTTATTTTGCTGTAGCTTCTTCATATGAGAGAAAACATTTGACCCTTGACTTTCTGGGTCTGACTTATTTCACTTAGCATGATATTCTCTAGTTCCACTCATTTACCAGCAAATGCCATAGTTTCGTTCTTCTGTATGGCTGAGTAAAACTCCTTTGTGTATTTATACATTTATTTATCTATTTGTTGACATGTGTCCAAGCTGTTTCCATAACTTGGCTATTGTGAATTATGCTGCTATGAACATTGGCGTGGCGATATCCCTATAGCATGCTGATTTTAGATCTTTTAGACATATACCAAGGAGTAGGATAGCTGAGTCAAATGATGCTTCTATTTCTAGTTATTTGAGGAATCTCCATATTGCTTTCCAGAGTGGTACTGATTTGCAGTCCCACCAATAATGTATGAGTTCCCTACATCCTTGCCAACATTATTGTTTTTTTGATAATTGCCATTCTGACTGGAGTGAGTTGAAATTTCAGTATAGTTTTGATTTGCATTTTGCTGATTGCTAGAGATGTTGAATGTTTTTCCATATATTTGTTGTTCATTTATATTTCTTTTTTTTAGAAGCATTAGTTACTTTGCCCATTTTCTATGTCTTTTTTTTTATTTGATTGTTCATGTTTTGTTTTTGGTGGTTTTTTTCAGTTCTTTATATATTCTTGATATTAATCCTCTGAGGAGCAGATAACAAGGATCTTTCATTCTGTAGATCTTAAGTGTTTACTGTACAGAAGCTTTTTAATGTAATGTCATCCCAATTATTGATTCTTGGTTTTATTTCTCATACTTTTGAAGTCTTGTTAAGGAAGTCAGTGACTGTGCCAATGTGTTGAAGTTTCTGGCCTACATTTTCTTCTAGCAGTTGCAGGGTTTCTACTCTAATTCCTAAATCTTTGATCTACTTTGAGGTGACTTTTGTGCAGTGTGAGAGAGGGGGGTCAAATTTCCTTCTACATTTGTTTTCTTGTCTTGTTCCTGTTTTTAGAGGAAATGCTTTCAGTTAATCTACATTCAGTATGATGTTGGCCTTGGCTTTGTTGTATATGGCCTTTAGAATACCGAAGTAAGTTTCTTGTATCCCTAGTTGCTCTAGTGTCTTAAACATGAATGGGTGCTGGACTTTGACAAATGCTTTCTCAGCATCTATAATCATGTGATTTCTACCCTTAACTCTATGTGGTGAATTTTGTTTATTGATTTGCATATGTTGAACCAACCTTGTTTCCCTGGGATAAAACCCACTTGATCATGGTATACTGTCTTAATGTGTTTTTGAATGGTTTGCCATTATTTTATTAAGGATTTTTGCATCTTTGTACATTAGGGATATTGGTCTGAGTTTTCTTTCTTCCCTTGAGTTGTCTTTGTCTGGTTTTGGTATCAGAGTGAGGCTGGCCTCATAGAAGGAATTTTAATGTTTGTACATACATGATGGTAATGGTGTTTAGCTTTATATTTAGTATTATCTGGAAGACAAATAATCCCATAAAAGGGATATCTAATTATGGAATTATATAATCCAAGTGTAAGTCTTCAGTGCTACCTGTTTTCTCACATGGATGAAGGTACAGTTCTAATTCTCTTCATCACACATCCATTAAAAATAAATGTATTGTGGGAATAGAGGCAACATGGGTATCAGATCTGAGTTGTGGGATCATCTACTTTAAACTTTGTCGATGATATAAACTTTTTAAAACATTATTTCTGGGGGCAACAATAGATAGACAAAGTGTCCAGTTTCTTTCATTTTATCCTTAATGTTAGCCAGCCAGCCAGTTTTTTTCTCTGAAAATGTGAAAGTATTAAATTAATCAAATCCAGGACAACTAGTACTTTAAGAAAGATGAAGTTACTTTTTTTCCCTCATTCCTCCTACCTTGGGATTGGGAATTCTGGTGCTGTATGAATTTTCTTAGTTTGACATATACTAGTTCTATAACAGAATCTGTAAATAAAGAGAAATACTCTGTATTTTTAAGTCTTTTATCTAGAATACCAAGAGCATTTAAATATCAATTCATTTTGATCTATAGCACTTAAACTATGTCAAAGGTAAAGATTGTATCTCTATATTCATTAAAATATAAACTACAGCAACATCTGCTGTGAGATCTTAAACCACATTAGTTGACAGAAAGAAAAGTAAATAGCAAATTCTAGCTTTCCTTGTATTTCAGATCACATTATCATACCAGAATATCATTTACTATGTAGATTATTTTGACATAGCAATATGAGTAGGAAAAGTAGAGAAAAAAATCGGGATTTACTAGTTCCTTATATTGTTATTTTTGATGGCAGTATTTTTGGCATTATATAAATAGTTTTCAAGTTTGTGCTTTCTTTCAAGTCATGACAGTCATTTACTACAATAACTCTCTACTACTCTGGGTTGTTTTTACTTTTTTTTTTTTTTGCTTGTTTTTTTTATTAACCAGGTTAAACATGTAAACCACCTGAGAAGCTTTTCCAAATTCATATTGTAGGCTTACCCAGATACATGTAGTAAGCATATGTAAAATAGGATATACCTATTGATTTAATTGTAACTTTCTTATGTGTAACCAGTCCCATGCTCTTGCCAAGATTCTACCATCCTAATGAGATAGGAAGCCAGCTGAAGGCAAGCCTAAGACTGAAATGTATATCAGATCCTCTTTAAAAAAAAAAAGAGAGAGAGAAGGAAATCATGGCCACGAATGGCTTACAAATATGAAATTTTACATAGTTTGATGTAAATCCATAAATAAATGAGGAGCTACCAAGTAAAGAATCACAAGAGAGACTCAGTGTGCCAAACTGAGGTGTGGTATAGAGAAGTGAAAGGGAGACTTCTGGGTGCTGCAGTGGCCCTGCAGTGTTGTCTTTGATGTGCTGTTGTGTGGGTTTACCAGGTTGGTTTAAATATCCTAAATAGCATTTGGCTGATCTGTGGGGCAATTTTAGATTTAAATAGCATAAAGGTAATTAAGCCATTTTAGAAAATAGAAAGAAGTAAAGACAACTAAAAGCCTACTTGCCACACAACTAGATATTAGAGAAAAAAGGGTTTAGAAAACAGGTCATAAGGATAAATTTGCTGCCCCTATTTTATGCTGCAGAGGTGACGCAATTACTTGGAGGTACAAACCTCTAATTTTTCTACCACGGTAATTGAGTAATTTCTTTTCAACTCTCCCACCCTTGCTACCCTGAAAAATGTGTGAACTTTTTCTGAGAAGGGCCTGATTTCTTAAATGTGTTACTCCCCAGTATGTGGCATGAAAGTTAAAGAGAACTTTCATTATTCCTCCTGATCGTAGGCCCTGGTCCTCCCTCTGAACTCCTTAAAGGTATCTCCATCACCACAATTACTTTCCATATTCATTAGTGTTATCTGTATATGTCAGGTGTCTGACTTTGTTGGTGCCATTCAAAGCTGAATGTAAATTAAGCATCTATTTCCATTGAAGGGAAGTCAAATTTAATGACAGATGCCTACAAAAGCATTAAGTGAACAGAGCAGTATTCAATTCAGCTAATTTGTGTATGTAATATAGCTTTTGAAGATACATCGTTCACTTTCCTTAGAGGTAGTTCTCAAAACTGACTTTACAAATACATGTAATGACCTCCATGAAATGGCAAAAATAATTGAATTTTTAAATGAGTTAGCATCTATATGAAGATTGGTCAGAAGACAAACTG